ATAGAGCAGAAATTGAATTGAATAGAATTTCAAAGCCACCAACATCTGATAATACATGATTTTTAACATGACAGCTTAGTAAACATGACATAACAATAACATGACAGCTTAACAAATTTAAATTAATGCCTCTTTTTACGAATTATTAAAAATTTTCAATTCATAATGATCGCAAAACATTTGTTATCATTTAATAAGAAATGAATCAATTAGTAGAACTTGAAAACCACTTATTAACACTTAGTAGAACATGAAAACCACTTATTACCATTTAGCAGAGCATGAAAACCACTTATTACCACTTAATGGAACAGGATATCACGCGCATATGAACTGTTCAAAAATGGCAAATCCGCATGAACATTATTATAATTAGTTATTTCATTATCAGCGATCGTTCGTGTGAATAGTTCATACGCGATATGTTCCGTGATTTTTGTAACTTTATATATTTTAATTAAAGCAAATTAAGTTTTAGACATGTGACATCTAGAAAAAGTGCCCAACAAATAACACTCAAATTTATTATTAAAACAAACCTAATTTCATTGCAATAAATACGAGCTAAATCTTCTACGTTAAAACAAAAATGCTATTTATAGTCTTTTATTTACTAATATTTCGATAATTCAAAGTTGCGCTGTTTAATTCAGAGTTTTATTCTTTACATTGAAAAATATCTAAAATGTTATGGCGACTTTCACATTTTAATTTAATATCTTGAAACAAAATGCATCAGTAGCTAGAGAAAATTGAAGCATTTTTCAGATGTTGAAATATATTTGATCAAATGATAAACATTTATATATTGGTTGAGGAGATTGAGGAAATTGAAGCTTGATGATATTTTCGAATCAAATACCGTAATGATGGCATTCTTTGATCGGGATAGGCTTAATATCGTAGGTATTTCATATACTTAAGTGACTTGTTTGATTAGCTATTTCAGTTATTGCATTAAACAGTAAATGATTGATCATAATTTATGAATGAAATATATCAACAATGAATGATTTGTATCAAAACAATTAATTCTTTTCGCTTAAATGCTTAAGTAAAAATAAGGAGAAAAATGTTTAGGATCATTATTTAATTCAAAATGCGAAATAAGTCAAATAACCTGGTTATCGTTAGTAATCTCTTTAATTTTTCTACCAATTTTATGATCAATATCTCAAAATCTCAGTGTTCGAAATTATAATAAAAGTGTTTTATCCAAAATATTCTCTTAAAGGTTTTATAAAGTTTATTACTTAAGTCTTATTTGAAAAATTAGAAAAATCTTAATCTACAAACTTTGATTTTAGATTGTCTCTTACCGAACCCTCAGCAAAGTTAGCAATTAGGAATTTAGCCAAAATCTATTTATGCTAATCTATACTTGAATTATATTAACTGTCCAAAAAGAAGAATGCAAAGCCACAGCAGAAATAAGGCATTGATATAATAAAACTCCTATAAATTAAACTTGCTATGTAGTAAAGCACTGTGGCGCATTTACTAATTTTTCTTATGCATATTTTTACATGGCACTTAATTTGTCATTTAGCGGTAAATGTCTGCTAATGTTGATATTTCTTAGATTGTTTAGGAAGAGGAAGCTTTGTGCAGGAAATTTCTTCAATTCTACATAAATTAACATTTGATATGATTTGAGGTTAATTTATCTGCGGATTTATCGAACTTGCTCAGCTGATCTCGGCTACTTAATGTATAATTTACCACAAGAACATCCGTTGCATTGTACCATGCAGTGCATTCGATGTTCTCGTGATAAATTTTAATTTTTTCCAACATTATATATAATCATGCATAAAATTGTTTCATATTAGGAATCAAAGTATGGAACTAAATAAATTTCATTTTGCTGAACGAGCAAAGCAACCTAAAGCATAGCTGCAAAAATTTTTTCAGAATGAATATGGTTTGAATTGGTCTGTACCACTTCACTCCTCCAACTATTCTTGGAACAGTTCACCACTAAACAAAAAAGAAGCCGGTAAAGTTCCTCCTGAAGAGATAGTTGAATCCTTCATTAATTAGCAAGGTAACCAACAGCGTTCCACATGTCAGTATTTAACTTTCAGTGATGTTAAACAGCCGTTAGTTTAGTGAAGGAAGCGATCACTCCTTGAGTTACAATGTATGTAAGTAAGAATACAAATTTCCCATTCTCAATACTTTGCAATTTGAAAAAAATAAATGAAAAAATTTCTAATTCATCGGTAAAACGTAGAATACCATAAAATGCGAGACATTTAAAAACGTTGAATGTATCAGAACAATTAATGAACACCACACAACGCGCCAGTGGTTGACAACGTTTCTTCGGAGAGTAGAATTTTCTGCGCCATTTTCATTCAATCAACCGATGGCGCTCCCATATGAAGTGTATTTTCATTTTCATTTATATCAAATATTCTTTATCCCGATAAAAGGATGGATCAATGGCCGTAATCATTCCATATAAAATCTAAAATAGGGAATTTTTGAGAAATATTTGTATAAATACTTCTCTGTTCTTTTCTTGTTAAATGGAGTTTGAATTAAAATGTCGCAATCTTTTAGTGCTTATTTGTCTTTATTTTGTTGTCATTCAGCGATAATACTTTCTGTTAATTGCATTTACAAACAGTTGATGCTTGCACCGCTTAAAAAGCTTCTAAAAAATTGTTAAAACTATTAAGAAATGAAATTGCACATAGAACTGTTTTAAAAAAAATAAGACAAACAATGTTAAAGTAATTAAAAATAAATAACGGAATCTTTCCATTATTTGTACTTTTTTCTATGATTTTCTGGTATTCTCCGTCAAGCTTTCTTTAAAAAGTATGTTTGTTTCAACTTACGAGCTTTTCTCATTATACGAAACAAGGAATGAGAGATAACTGGAACGAACTTAGATACTATACACCAAGCATCGTTTGGATTTTAATGAATTTCATCACATTCATTTATAAACACAACCATAGCATATAAGTCAGCCTGAATTTGCCACCTCCACATAACAATTTGGAATCTCCTGCAAATTAATGGAGCAATAAATGCGATGCGATCGGAGTGATGCGATCAATCATGTTTGATCATTTGAAAATTTAAGTACCCTTTATTGTTCAATCATTTGAATATTTGATGTGTCTGTTCAGGAACGACAATGTCTACGACCATACCATGTTGAAAGCACGACATCTCGTCCGATCTGTCAAGTTAAGCAACGTTGGGCCTGGTTAGTACTTGGATCGGAGACGGCCTGGGAATCCCAGGTGTTGTAGACATCGCTTTTTTAGTTTTCGAAGAAAACTATTGCGATAGTAATCAGATAACTGTTGACAATCATACCAGAATAACCGAGTTGAACTTACAGTAATGCAGATACAAGTTAAGGTAACTGAATGTTTCGGTCCAGAATTTTTACTATTGCGATTTAAAAGTAAAATTTTGGAGTATCCCGCATTACTATGACAATAGCAGTAAAAATATCAGTAGTAGTAAAATTGAATACCGTAGCGGGAGCAGATGTAAAATTGTTGAGAAGAATGGGATGTACATATTTCTGCGTGAAGATAAAAGAAAATATCTACAAGGTAATTTAAAGCAAAATTTTAAAACATCGCTCATCTTGACAATATAACAAGTGGGATGCAATATAAAAGAAATCGTTCATCCAAATGATGAAAATGCTTAAAGGCTGATCGATAAACAATGATATGTATATCTTCATTATAATGGACCAAGTATTGTTTGGATTTTGATGAATTTCAGTACATCCATTTATAAAAACACGATCATACTAAGTCAGCCTGAATACTAAGCCTGAATTTGCCGCCTTCACATAACAATTTGGAATCTCCTGCAAATTAGTGGAAAGATAAATGCGATGCGATCGGAGTGATGCGATCAATCACGTTTGATCATTTGAAATTTTCAAGTACCCTTTATTGTTCAATCATTTGAATATTTGATGTGTCTGTTTAAGAATGATTATGTCTACGACCATACCATGTTGAAAGCACGACATCTCGTCCGATCTGTCAAGTTAAGCAACGTTGGGCCTGGTTAGTACTTGGATCGGAGACGGCCTGGGAATCCCAGGTGTTGTAGACATCGCTTTTTTAGTTTTCGAAGAAAACTATTGCGATAGTAATCAGATAACTGTTGACAATCATACCAGAATAACCGAGTTGAACTTACAGTAATGCAGATACAAGTTAAGGTAACTGAATGTTTCGGTCCAGAATTTTTACTATTGCGATTTAAAAGTAAAATTTTGGAGTATCCCGCATTACTATGACAATAGCAGTAAAAATATCAGTAGTAGTAAAATTGAATACCGTAGCGGGAGCAGATGTAAAATTGTTGAGAAGAATGGGATGTACATATTTCTGCGTGAAGATAAAAGAAAATATCTACAAGGTAATTTAAAGCAAAATTTTAAAACATCGCTCATCTTGACAATATAACAAGTGGGATGCAATATAAAAGAAATCGTTCATCCAAATGATGAAAATGCTTAAAGGCTGATCGATAAACAATGATATGTATATCTTCATTATAATGGACCAAGTATTGTTTGGATTTTGATGAATTTCAGTACATCCATTTATAAAAACACGATCATACTAAGTCAGCCTGAATACTAAGCCTGAATTTGCCGCCTTCACATAACAATTTGGAATCTCCTGCAAATTAGTGGAAAGATAAATGCGATGCGATCGGAGTGATGCGATCAATCACGTTTGATCATTTGAAATTTTCAAGTACCCTTTATTGTTCAATCATTTGAATATTTGATGTGTCTGTTTAAGAATGATTATGTCTACGACCATACCATGTTGAAAGCACGACATCTCGTCCGATCTGTCAAGTTAAGCAACGTTGGGCCTGGTTAGTACTTGGATCGGAGACGGCCTGGGAATCCCAGGTGTTGTAGACATCGCTTTTTTAGTTTTTCAGGAAAACTATTGCAGTAATCAGATCTTCTTTTCTTGTTCATTCAGGCTTATTATATAAGTGAATTTGGTAGAGAAAATGTTGCAATTTGTTATCGCTCATTTGTTTTTACTTTGTTAATTTTTTAAATGTTATTAATTTAAATATTACACAACAAGCATTGTTTGGATTTTGATGAATTTCATCACATCCATTTTTAAACATAACCATAACATATAAGTCAGCCTGAATTTGCCAGCTTCAGAGAACATTTTGGAATCCGCAAATTAATGGAACGATAAATGCGATGCATCAATCATGTTTGATCATTTGGAATTTTCAAGCGCCCTTGCATGTTCGATCATTTGGAAATTTGATGTGTCTGTTCAAGAATGATTATGTCTACGACCATACCATGTTGAAAGCACGACATCTCGTCCGATCTGTCAAGTTAAGCAACGTCGGGCCTGGTTAGTACTTGGATCGGAGACGGCCTGGGAATCCCAGGTGTTGTAGACATCGTTTTTTTCGTTTTTTATATATCATGCATTTCCGGAACAAACTACTGCGATAATAATCAGACGACTGTTGACAATCATATCAGAATAACCGAGTTGAACTTACAATATTACAGATAAAGTTAAGGTGGCCGAATATTTCGGTCCAGAATTTTTGCTATGTGAGTTCACAATAAAATTTTGCATATCATGCATTTCCAGAACAATAGGAGTATAAATATCAATGGTAGCAAAATTCAACATCATAGCGGGGGCAGATGTATAATTTTGAGAGAAATGGATTGTACAATATTTGTGCGCGAAGATAAAGGAAAATAATTATGATAGATAAGAAGGAAGAGAGATGTTATAAACGACAGCTCGTAGTTTTCCTCGTGACGCAATGTTTCCGAAGGCACTGTGGGAATAAAATACGTCGAAATTAATAATTGAGAGAAGAAGGCTAATTTCAGAAATGATAATTTTCATTTCAGGTCCGTGTTATTTCTGGAATGTTTGCCTTCAAATGGGAGAGATGGGAAGGGAATGTTCTGTGAGATGGCGAAGTGAGTGGGGAATTTGAAGGGAGATATCGGATGAAGGCGGTGTGGTCGAAGGGATGATGGAGTTGGCTGTTTAATACTTTTTATTAATGGCATTATGGCGGGGGAAGTTCCCAAATTGATGTGAGATAACATGTTGTAATTGACGGTTGAGTCGTACACTGTGATAGATTCAGTCTTGCGCATACCTTTTCTACGCGTAAGATTCATATAATTCTTCAGGATTTTCAAATGCTTGGAAGTTTATATGATGCATTTGTGACCGTACAAAATGAGCTCACAAACAGGTTTATCTTTGTTTGTTTGTTTTTCATCTTATTGAAATTCTGATTGTCCCATTTTTGAAACAAAAGTAAATTTCATTATGAGATGGATTAGTTGGGATTGAAAAAGATAACTGACTTCTTTAAATTTTTCCTTTATTTGCATTATTCAATTTGCATTAAAGAGCAAAATTTGAGACTTACTTCTACAATTAGTTTTTGTTGACGATAATCTTTTGTATATTTTGTTCGATCTACTTTTGCAGTGTGAGAAAATTGCGAAACACCACATCGTCTGCTGTGCAAAGGTATTGTTATTGGTTAAACTTAAATTTTTAAAGAGATAATTGTAAATAAGTTACTGGACACTTTGGCTGCCTGTCCCTTTCTGTAGTAACTGATTTACGACTGTATTTTATTACGCAATTCCTTCACAAGTTGCTGTTCTTTTTCAGAAGTTCATCTGAAGCGATTGCATCTCTTTTGAAAACACAGGCTGGAAGCAATCTACTTTTACAGTATGCTTTTTTTCTGAAAAAAATTTTGAGCTGAACATTTGGGAATAATAGGTAGATTGAACAAATGGGTAGATTTAGCAAACTTAACTGATTTATGGTGAAGTTCCAAGAGTATACGGAAATTGGCAGGGTAATGAATTTGTTCGGGAAATTATTGTCGTCAGGAATGTTATTTTAAATAGAAAACCAACAGTGTTATTTTAATGTGTTATATTTTATAGCATGTGTTTGTCGATTTTTATTATTGAATCTAGTCGAAAGTTTCAAATTATTTCCTTATTACCTCCGCCGACATAATGAAACTCTTATAAATGAAAGCGATTGATTTAATAGAAGTTTCTCTTCTTTTTTGCTTTTAGATACCAACTAAACATAGAAACAATACAGCAAATGAACAATGAAAATATACGTTTGGCAAATTTGTGCAGTACTCGTATGGGACGAGCGCAACAAATGTGTAATGAACGTGCTGAAGTTATTTTAGCTTGCTACAACCATTTACGTACATTAGATCAAACAACAAAGGTTCGTTAATCGGCTCTATCAAGAGATTGTTAGTTTTGGTAGACTTTTTTGGATGTTTTGAGTGTAAAAATAATTAATCATGGGTTAAATAAATTAGAGAAGATGAGTTATTAAATGGCGAACCTAAAAGATGCGTAAAATCGATTCTCGGGTACAATAAAATTGTCAAGTAATTCTGTTCCTTGAATTCTGCATGCACAATTGCGGGACATGGCAATTGGAACACTCTTTCGTTTATTTGTCTTTCCTATAAACCCCCTTTTCCTTTTTTTTAGGAAATATGATTTTTTGTTAGTTTTGCACTGTATATTTGTAGATATAGATCAGGTTTTTTAGAAGAATTCTTTGTTTTATGTTTAGATATAAAAATCAGATTCTTTGCAGCAAAATATTTAAGTCTGAATATATTTTCTTAAGGAACTAATGGATTTGAATAGCAAAATTAGCAAATTAAGTCGATTCTGTTTACAAACGGAACGAGCGATGACACATTTAGAGGCATTGCTTATCATCGCTGATACTGAAACAGATATCGCTTCTATGAAAGATGATATGAGGAAGGAGAAAGCACAGATCAATAATTTTTTGAAATTTTCTAATAATATTCTGGATGTTGGTCATTCATCGTTGGCATTGAATCAAGGTTTGTTTGTTTAATTTTTATTTCCCATTGTAGGTTTTCCTTGATTTAATAAATATATCTTCAACTAATTACGCAGTTGGTTCGGCTTCTACGATTTCCTTAAATATTTTCTGGTAGTTTGTCAGAAATGGATTTCACTGAAGTATTGGTCAAGGTAGCTGATAATATACTAAATGACCTTTGTATACCAACTAATGGTAGTGAAGTGAATTTTGTAAGGGAATTTATTTATATGCAGGAACATAAATGCTTTGAATAGATTTTAAGCTCTCAGAAGATTACCGATTATTCTTTTAAGAATTGAATGCTTTTCATTTGAATTCAATTAAATAGTGAATTTATGTGTTACTTGCAAATATTTGACTCTTGCTTTCTTGCTTTTTTTAACAAATATATTTTAGAAAGCAAGGAATTTGGCAGATGGTTGTAACTTAGTTGCTTATTTTAATGCGGATTCCACGTTTTATGATAGCTTGCACTAGTTTTTTCTCTTGCAGGTGATGCATGAAAAAAAAGCCTGTTGTGGTCAGAGATGCGATTTGCCATCTTATAATTCATTATTCATCGAATAATATTCAATGCATATTGATGAGATTCAATTTGTGATTTTTTTTGATGGTTTAAATTACTTTTCAGATGAACAGCGACTGCAGCATCAATTTAACTTTGATAAGGAACACTTGGAGGAAGTCGCGCTGGAAGAATTTTTGAGTCGTTGTGAAAATGAAGATTAACTTCATTATTTCTTTCAGTATATATTTTCAGTTTAGCTGCTTACTGTCAATGTACTTTATCAGCAAGTTGCTCTTTTCGGCATGGCACTCGAAGATAAAGGAATGTTTCTTATGCTTCCAATTTTCATTCGAGTGATAAAAGATAGTGTTAACATTTCTTTATTGTTCGATGTTAATTCTGGTTAGTTCTACTTGCGAAAAATCATTCGTATAGACAGTCAGCAGACAAAATAGTGTATTACCAAGACGTTACTTTGTTTGCTGATTGTCACTGTGACCGTAGTGACAGTAGTGGTAAAAGGGACTGTGGTGGTAATTTTGCGTTAATGTTTCAGGAAAACGGTTGCGAAACAAAAACTTTATATATTTTTAATTCTCATCTAAGCGAACAAACTGAACAATAAGACTTCAATTCTCCGATCAGAAATATTTAGTTAGATTTTATAATATAATATCCTTTTCCCACATTTTAATCTTTTCTTGTGATTAGGAATTATGTCATCAGTTCTTTTCTCTTTTCTCCTAGATTCAGTCCGTTTAATGTACCATGTAAACACTGTATATTTTTGATAACCTATTTTGATAACCAGTGACGATCTCTAATTTCAACTGTAATTTTATACTTTCTTTAATTCTTGAATTTGGCTTATTCGTTTTAAAGTGATATTGTTGCTTTAGTATCTGGTACAATTGCTGCATATTTTCTAGTCTGTTTTTTAATCATTTTTAGAAACGGTTCCATCATCCTATGTTTTCGTTATTATCCTTTATGGTGTAGTTTTTTTTTTCTTTTCAGGTCCGATATGATGAGATGTGTATTATTATTTCATATAGGCGTTTGGATTTATTTCGAAATCTAAATTTTAGTAAGGGATTGTATTCTTGATAAATCTAAACATTTTTTGAAAACTGAGAGAAGACGTTAAATAAGTTACGTAGATTATTAATTTTGGGCTTGATAATTTCCTTAGTTATAAATTGCTGTCAACACATCTCCGCTGAAACTGTAAGACGCCGTCACGATATCTAATTAAGTTACTTACGATTTAGTTGCTGAAATCTGTCGTTTATTTTCAATTGCTTCTTTGATTATTTGTATTCACTAACTTTGAAACTTGTAATTTATTTCATGCATAGCAGCTTTGTTAATAATTTCAATTTAGTGCATACATTTTGCCTAATTTATAAATAATGTTTATAGCAATTTCCGAAAAATTGTTTCAATTTTTTAAATTGTAATAACAAATCATTGTTGAAATAACAATTTCGTTCACAACTAATAAATATGGAAATGTGTGATGGTAAACGGATGAAACTCACAGATACTTTTATGGATCCCCGAAATATACTATTTCCTACACCTCAAGAAAATGGTGAAAGAAAAGCAATCATAGCAGCCGCGTATGTTACTTGACTTTAATAACCACTAATTGAGATCTGTCCTTATTGTGATACACGTAATTATTTGATCACAATTAGTGCATTCAATTACTTGATCACAAGGAGTAATTACTGCGTTACAAACTGATGCTTATTCTCATATTGCAACTTGATATTACAACTTAAATGCCAACAAAGTATTTTAAGTCCCAACTAAATATATTTATTCATTCAAATATTTAACACTGAATAACATGAATGAATCATATAAGTATTCCCCTACAATATATCTATGGATCTTCTTTCTATTTCTATTCGGGACAATTATTGTTTAGCCTTACCTGAGATTGGTTTTTTCTAAATATCATATAAACTTTTAAATCAATTAAAAAATCACGAACTATTCTTAAAATTTGCATTTTCTATTTCTTTTAAATATTTATTAAATCTTATCCATTCATTTTAAAAGTGATATTTATATGATTTTTTTTTCCTTGGCTAGGCTAGACTAGACTAGACTAAGCTAAGCTAGGCTAGGATAATGAAATTTTGCAATTTTTATACTAAAAATAAAAGATGTTAAAAAGTGTCAGGATAAATCATTCCTTTCCAACTAACTAACTAACATATGTATAGTATAGTTGTGATAGTAATATTGTCATTTCATTTTACTTTCATCGATCTCGTCGATTATCTCTCCAGATGTTGTTTTCTGAATTTTTTTTTACTATCTTATACGATGATAAGCTTCTTTCGTCTATTACCTACCACCACCACCACCACCACCACCACCACCACTATCATCATCAATTGTAAAGAGAAATAATAATCAATCCGTCTTATTTTCTAATAACAAATTTTTCTCCCACTTTCTATCTTCAAATTATTGATATTTTCATAAAATATATTTTCTTCCTTTTTTGATTACCTTCTAACATTATAATATCCAACTATAATTTCATTCGTTCCTTTATTTCTCCTTCGTCTCTTACATTCCAAATACTTCTGATATTTTTGAAATTTCAATTAATTTTCTTATTTTCAATGCTATTTCTATTTTATGCAAACATTTCAAATTCTAATTCATATATCAAAGTTTGATAGAAATACTTCTGATATTTTGGAATTTCAATTAACTTTCTTATCTTCAATGCTGTTTCTATTTTATGTAAACATTTCAAATTCTAATTCATCAAAATTTGATATTCCTTTTCAAACTCGATTACCTTCTAACATTATAATATCCAATTATAATTTCATTCGTTCCTTTATTTCTCCTTCGTCTCTTACATTCCAAATACTTCTGATATTTTTGAAATTTCAATTAACTTTCTTATCTTCAATGCTATTTCTATTTTATACAAACATTTGAAATTCTGATTCATAATTATTAATGTTTGATTTTTGATCTTAATCATAATCGATTTATCGGTATCATAATTTTTTCCGATATGAATTGTTACAATAAACAGTAAACAATATGAAATGCTATAATTTTGATACTACTGGTTAGCTCATTTTTGATCTAATTATTTGTGATTCTTTTTTCTCGTACTTCTTTCTCAGAGTTTTATTTTTTCATTGAAATTAATTTATAAAATTAATTTAGAGCAATTCTTCAAATCTTTCCCATTAGTAATTTTGCTGATCAAATTTATCAATAGATTAATTTAATCATTCTTGCTAACAATTCTGCTAGCAAATTTATTCATTATCCTTGCTATCAATTCTGCTCCAAATTAATTATTCAACGTACATTTATCCTTTGTTATCAATTAGTGAGCTTCCTGTTATCAAATTACAATTTCTCTTTCTTGCTAACTTTTATCAACAAATTTTCTCCCTTTCATTACGATTAATACAATGATAATAAATGATAAATAGTGATGATAATTTAATAATTTCCTCTTTCTTCATTTATACATCTTATCTCTTTCTCTCTCTTTCTCTCCCCCTCTCTCTCTCTTTCTAAAATAATTCTTTTCAACATTAATTGAAATCCATGAATTTTTTAATTAATTTTTCATTTTTTAATTGAAATTAATTTATGAAATTAATTTAAAGCAATTCTTCAAATCTTTCCCATTAGTAATTTACTGATCATATTTATCAACTGATTAATTTAATCATAATAATAATAAATAAAATAATTATTCTAATCATTCCTCTAATTATACTAATTAATATTATTATTATAAAGAATGCAACGTATAATTTACAATCATAAATTTTCTTCCTTTTTATTCTTTTAAAAAAATCGATCCAATTTTTTTTTTGAATAATTTAAATTTAATATAATTCTTATATTATTATATAGTAATTGGAAACTTTCATATATTCTTTTGCACGTATTATTAATTTTACGATTTTTTGTTTTAAAAAAAAAAAATTTAATTATTATTTTTTTTTCAATAATTAAATAATTTCTATAAAATGATTAGCACGCAATATTTCATTTAAATTTTCATAGTATTTTTACTTTGTTAAATTGACAGCGTATAACATTGATTTTATTATTTCTATATAAATTCATTTTTGTTTTATGTCTGATTGAAATGTTTAACATTTATTGTTAATTTTTTTTCATATCCAATTTATAATATAGCTATTAAGAATAATGTCTTCTCTCTCTCTCTCTCTCTCTCTCTCTGTTAATTTTTCGTTTAAATTTAATATAAGCTGTCAAGTTGGCTTTCTCTTTCTCTCTCTCTCTGTTAATTTTTCGTTTAAATTTAATATAAGCTGTCAAGTTGGCTTTCTCTTTCGCTCTCTCTCTCTCTGTTAATTTTCCTTTTAAATTTAATATAAGCTGTCAATTTGGAAGGAGACAAACTTTTTTCATAGAGGTGAAAATTTTTTAAATATTTTATAAGCTAATGAATATAATGATAAAAGGTTCTTTTCTAATTATCAATGCTTTAAGAAAATAATTTGTTTATATTCTTATAAAATTTTTCCACTAATTATTTTTAAATCGTTGTACTAAATAAATAATTATATATTTTAACATTAATTTAACAATTCTCTCTCTCTCTCTCTCCCTCTCTCTCTCTCTCTTTCCACCCTTAAATAAATAAGAGAGATATAAAAAGGGAAAATAAATAATTTTATATTTTAACATAAATTCAACATTCCCTCTCTCTCTTTCCACCTTTAAATAAATAAGAGAGATGTAAAAAGGGAGAATAAATAATTTTATATTTTAACATAAATTCAACATTCTCTCTCTCTTTCTCTCTCTCTCTCTCTCTCTCTCCACCCTTAAATAAATAAGAGAGATGTAAAAAGGGAAATCAGTCATTTTACTAATTAAATTTTAATAAATTTTATGCAATTAATTATTCAAAAAAAAATATTCATATCATTGAATGTTATATAATAGCAATAAGAGATGAATGAGTAATATAAACTTGATATGTTGTTCACTTCTGGAAATAATCAAAATAAATGATCATTCGTAATTTCATTAAGCCATCAAATAATTTAATGAATAATTATTACTTTGTAATAATAATTCTAAATAATCTTAATAATTGATCATTCGTGATTTCATCAAGTAATCAAATAATTTAATGAATAATTATTACTTTGTAATAATAATTCTAAATAATCTTAATAATTGATCATTCGTGATTTCATCAAGTAATCAAATAATTTAATGAATAATTATTACTTTGTAATAATAATTCTAAATAATCTTGATAATTGATCATTCGTGATTTCATCAAGTAATCAAATAATTTAATGAATAATTATTACTTTGTAATAATAATTCTAAATAATCTTGATAATTGATCATTCGTGATTTCATCAAGTAATCAAATAATTTAATGAATAATTATTACTTTGTAATAATAATTCTAAATAATCTTAATAATTGATCATTCGTGATTTCAACAAGTAATCAAATAATTTAATGAATAATTATTACTTTGAAATAATTATTCTAAATAATCTAAATAAATAATCACAGACTAAGTAATCAGATAATTTAATTCATAATTACCTTGAAATAATTAATAACTTTAAAGCTAAAATTGATAAAACAATTTGATCAATCAGTTTCATAATTCTAAACATAATCCTAAACAAAAAATTACGGTACCTGCCATTTCCTTTTTTGCTACATACCTTTTTCATTTATATACAATTTTCACTGTAGTAATAACAATAAGTTACTAATTAACAACTTATTAATTAGCAATAACAATAAATTACTAATTTAATTGAACATTATTCAACGAAATATGCGCAATAAATATTTCCCGATTAATTAACAAAATTCATGAAGTTTTAAAAAATGCATCAATTTCATTTCAATTCGATTAAGTATTATTCATTCGTTAATTACCAATATTTTAATGGTAAAAATTCATTGGATTCGCTTATTATTATCAAAGCAGCGGTTTATTTTATTAATTTTTGGTAAGCTTTGAATTTTATTTTATTTCAAAAATTATATAATATAAAATACAAAAAGTTTTGTCATTACATTTCTTTTAAGCAAATACTTAATACTACGAAGATTATATTAATTAATTCAATAACAATAAAATGAAAGATATATATATATAGAAAATTTTGAATTAAAAATAAATATGAAATGCTAAAACAATTAATTTGCATATTAAAAATAGATTCAAAATTTGAGTAATAGAATTTGAATAAGTTAATTAATAGTAATATGCATGAGAAATGCTAAAGCAATTAATTTACATATTAAAAATCAATTAAAAATTTGAATAACAAAATTTGAAAAAAATTAATTAATAGTAACATGCATAAGAAATGCTAAAGCAATTAATTTGCATATCAAAAATTATTCCAAAATTTGAGTAATAGAATTTGAAAAAGTTAATTAATAGTAATATGCATAAAATGGATAGTAATAAAAATTGGCTAATTTGCTTTTTCAAAAAATCATTTTCATTTTTACAATATCCCATTGAAATTTCAGTTTTGGTGACTCATATTTTATTGTTATTATAAGTATGAAAAAAATAAAAATTAAAAAAATACGTGGAAATTCATAAACATTCTTCCTGCCAGCTAATGTTTATATTAATAAATATTAAATTTATATTTCTTTTAATAATTTCTAACCTTTTCGCTATGTTTCGGAAATAATATCTACCAATGAAAGAAAATCATTTTAAATTGTTAAAATTGAATGGAAAAAAATTTATTTTAAATTTCAAATTTGATTTTTAGTAAAATCAAATTAATTTTGCATAATTTATTTCCTATTCTTAATTCAATAATAATAATTAAGAATAATTTATTACTATTATTAATAAATAAAAAATCCGTATAGTTTTATTATTATCATTAATAAATTAAAAGAACAGATATTACTATCATTAATAAATAATAAAAATCGTAATCAATTTAATTTCATTCTATTATAGTATTATTTCAATTCTTAATTTAATAATATAAATAAGAATAGTTTATTACTATTATAATTAAATAAAATATGCGAATGGTTTATTATTATCATTAATAAATTAAAAAATCATTAATATTATTATCATTAATAAAACAGATATTATTATTATTAATAAATACTAAAAACCATAATCAATTTAATTTCATTCTATTATAGTATTCGTTTTTTAGGTTTTCAATTATTTCTTAAAAAAATCATTTCAGTAATATTTCTTGTCATTATTCATGCGTTGTATTCGAATATGCTGTGGCAAATTCAGGATCGATATATTTATAAAACATGTGCACAATCACCCTTATTTGATACAGCAAATGTTAGTTAGATTGTTTGATCAGTTTGAAATTAGTTAGTTAGATTGTTTGATCAGTTTGAAATTAGTTCGTTAGATTGTTTGATCAGTTTGAAATTAATTCGTTAGATTGTTTGATCAGTTTGAAATTAGTTAGTTAGATTGTTTGATCAGTTTGAAATTAATTCGTTAGATTGTTTGATCAGTTTGAAATTAGCTAGTTAGATTGTTTGATTAGTTTGAAGAAATGAACGAAATAAAAAAATTTTTCAAATTTAAATTTAAAAACTTTTTCATTGTGAACAGAAAAAAAACTTGAACAACAAATAATTGCATTCAAAGTATTTGTCATGCAAATATATGCAAGAAATAATAATTATAAAATGAATTTGCATTTGATTGTTTAATGCTACTGCAATGAAATATATGCATGTTGCATGCATACAACATGCATTAAATATTTAATTAGGAATTTTCTTTTTTTTTTTTTGTTTGTAGTTTAGTGCATCAATGCAATTGATATCATCGATATTGCAATTGAGCCGATATTTACAGAATAAAACGTTGTTCATTGATCCTCGTCTCATTTCAAAAATACAAGGTTTGTTTTTGTGAATGGCTTATAAATAAAATTACGAATGTGCGATATTCTGTGACATCACAGAATGTGCGACATTTCGTGATAATTATAATTTTATTTACCTTTATTAAAGCAAATTAAGTTATAGACATGCGATATCTAAAAAAGACGCCCAACGAATAACACTCAATCCGTGACATCACGGAACGATATTTGTAATCTTACTTACCTTTATTAAAGCATTCGGTGATAGTTGTAATTTTTTACTTACCTTTATCAAAACAAATTAAGTTATAGACATGCGGCATCTAAAAAAGGCATCCAACAAATAACACTCACATCTGTTATTGAAATAAACTTAAATTCATTGCTGTAAATTGAAGCTCAATCTTCCATGCCAAAACAAAAACGCTATTTACAGTCTTTTATTTACTAGTATTTTGAATAATATTTATTATGTTCAATTTAAAGTTTCACTTCTTACATTGATAATTATCTAAAATGGTATGGCGATTTTCAGATTTAAATTCAACATCTTGAAACAAAATGCATTAGTTCGTAGAAAAATTTCAAGGATTTTTCAGGTTTTGAAACACATTCAATCGGTGATAATCAATTACATATTGGTGAAGAGAGGCTTGATGATATTTTAGAAACAAATACCGTTATGATGGCATTCTTTGATCAGGATAGGCTTGATATCGTAAGTATCTCCTAAAGTGACTGTTTTTGATTAGCTATCTTAATTAATGGATGGTCACAATTTGGNACCATCCATTAATTAAGATAGCTAATCAAAAACAGTCACTTTAGGAGATACTTACGATATCAAGCCTATCCTGATCAAAGAATGCCATCATAACGGTATTTGTTTCTAAAATATCATCAAGCCTCTCCTCACCAATATGTAATTGATTATCACCGATTGAATGTGTTTCAAAACCTGAAAAATCCTTGAAATTTTTCTACGAACTAATGCATTTTGTTTCAAGATGTTGAATTTAAATCTGAAAATCGTCATAACATTTTAGATATTCCTCAATGTAAGAGATAAAACTTTGAATTAAACACAATAAATATTATTGAAATATTAGTAAATAAAAATTACAATAAATTTAGGTTTATTTTAATAACGGATCTGTCGGGTGCCTTTTTTAGATGTTGCATTTCTATAATTTGCTTTAGTAAAGATAAGTAAAGTTACCAATGTCACGGAATGTCGCACGTTCCGTGACATTGGTAACTTTACTTATAACTTATAAACCATTCACATAAACAAACCTCGCATTTTTGAAATGAAGCGAGGATCAACGAACAGCGTTTTGTTCTGTAAATATCGGTTCAATTGTAATATCGATGATATCACTTTCATCGATGCGCTAAACTATAAAAAAAAAGTTCCTAATTAAATGTTTAATGCATGCCTTATGCATAAAACATGCATATATTCCGCTGCAGTGACATTATATAATCAAATGTAAATTCATTTTTTAGTCGAACATTCGTAATTATAATTTATAACACACATTTGCCATTGCTGTCATCTAAATTCGTTTCCATAGAATTAAAAGTTTCGATTTCAAATTTTTGGCTTCTGTCAGGTTTTAACGATAGTTAACTAACATTTGCTGCGCCATATAGGGATAATTCTGTATATCGTTCCTGAAGTTGCCGCCATGCGATACCCGTATATAATACATTAAATATAAGAAGAAATGTGACTGAAATGATTTTTTGGGAAATAATTACAAAAAAATTAATAAAGTTAGAATGAAATTTATATTGATATTAATAGTAATGGCATTTAATTATATAGATGGAGTATTACAATAATAGTGTGGTAAAGCCATGCAAATTGGATGAAATTATAATAAATTATTTTCAAAATTCAGTTTGTTAAAATTGCACGCAATAATTTCAGTTATTTCTAATTAAAGCAAAATGAGGAAGGAAAGAAATTGTAAAAGAAATATTAATTTAATTCTCATTGATTTAAAAACGAAACAATAGATATTTTTCAGATACATTTTACTGATATAACGATAAAGATGATTAAGTAAAAGTAAGAGACGTATTAATTTCATGAAACATTGCAAAAAATGAAAATGAATGTAATTTAATTCCTGAAGACGAATAAAGTAGAGCTTACCAAAAATTGCCAAACCAAACCAATTCCTTAATAAGCGACTTTTCATTGGAATGCTGTAACTAACGAACAAATAAAATAAATTAATAGATATAAAATTGATGTAATAATAATTTATAAATTGTCAACCGTTTGAAAACATTTTATAATCGTATATTTGATATTTGAACGTATTTTTATTAATCTTGTGCTATAAATACATCGTAATCATACAAATCCTTTATTAATCATAGTGCTCATATAATACATATGCAATATAAAAAGGTATTGAGGCTATCAACTGAACCAAATTTTCATGATATTATTATTACTATTATTAATACAAAACAATTGAATGGATAATTCTGTCACACATCGTATAAATAACCTAGAAAATAATACACATAAATTTCAATTATTCATGAGCATGTGAAATGGAAAATCGTAAATCGTTCGTAAAAATAAGCAAGTGATACACTTTACCATAAGCTGGCAATTTGTTACTTTTACAATTTGTCAGAGCATAAAATGAAAAAAATTTCTCATAAGTAATTAAGTATTTATCGATAAAGCAAATGAAAATATTGGCTGGTTATAATGGTGAATATTTGCTAAAAAATTTGTTTTATTATTAAAATGATCATTAACGTAAAAATTGCGTTATTTACCGAACAACAAATCAGCTGAAAATGTAAATAAATTTAAATTTTTTGATATGATTCACATTGAGATTGCTATTTGTCAGAAAAGGAAACATATTTCTGAAAGACAACAGCGACGTAAGAAATTATCAAATAAGATTCGTTTTTGTTAGCAACAAGAATAGAAACTGCGGTAAGAATTCAGAGATTAATTTACGATTTTTTGTATACTTTGTTAAGGAATATTGAATGGATTGAAATGTTGAAAAGCTGTAAACCTCACAATTTCAATGCATCCATCATTTCATCGCAAAATTTAGACGTTTAAATTTGAAAGTTAAAAATGACAAAAATTATAAGTGGCTATAAATGCTCAATTATCAATTCATCATTATTAACAATGCAGGTAATTTTTTAACCATCACTATTTCCACTTTTTTTTTTTACTTTTTAAGAATCTTTCGAATTGGTTAAAAAAAAAACACTTTGAAACTCCTGAGTTGGAATAGAAAAAGCTTCGATAAGTATCGATTTTTGAAAATTCAATATTCTTGTATTACACATGTTTAGCGCACTTATTGCTAACCATAAGAAAATGATGATTTGATTCTGAAGATCATTATTGAGTCAAAACGAATCAAACTTACCAAGTTATCGAGATTTCCAAATTTCACAGCATCGAGAACGGTAGCAAATTTGTAATGGATTTTATAAATTACTTATGATTCCATTCGATAAAATCATTCCGGTCATTCATATTGATTTGGATGCTTCAGTTATAAGGTCATATGATACTTTTTCTCTTTCTTACACGCAGTGTCGAAATGATGAATGTGCATAGAAATAGTAGGATTCGCCATGGGGTCGCAATCTATCGATAGCAAAAAATAGTGCGAAAGTCACAATTTCGGTTTTATAACTAAAAGTGCATAAAATGTTATGTTAGAGAGAAAAAAGTTGTAAAGATCAAAATGAAAGTAAAACTGTGTTATGCCTATTCTTCGAAAAAAAATCAAAATTATCCATTTTCTAAATTGACAAATATTCTGCATTTAGGACATAGTTTCGAAGCCTTGTTGGACTAATGATAATAATCTATCGGTGCATCAAAATCAAATGGAGACAGTATGAGTGGAAATGCATTTTCTTTTAAGCCTATTTCATTCAATTCGTTAAATAACGCAAATTCCAAAATCAATGCAAATTTCAAAGTTTCCTTAATAAAAACAATTAATTCAGTAATAATATAAAACGAGCAGCTG